TAAAAAAATAAAAATTTCGAAAATTTTTTTCTACAAAATTGAAATTTTGAGAATTTTCTATAAATAAGTAGAAATTACAAACATTTTCTGTTAAACAAAATTTCTAAAATTTTGTAAAAAATTGACATTTTCAAAATTTTGAAAAATTTTCTATAAAAAGAGAAAATTACATTTTTTTTTTCATAAAAAAGAGAAAATTTTGAAAAATTTTCTTTGAAAAGAGAAAACTTTGAAAAATTTTCTATAAAAAGAGAAAACTTTGAAAAATTTTCTATAAAAAGAGAAAATTTTGAGAAATTTTCTATAAAAATAGAAAATTTTGATTTTAAAAAATTTTCTATAAAAAGAGAAAATTTTGAGAAATTTTCTATAAAAAGAGAAAATTTTGAGAAATTTTCTATAAAAAGGGAAAATTTTAAAAATTTTTCTATAAAAAGGGAAAATTTTAAAAATTTTTCTATAAAAAGGGAAAATTTTAAAAATTTTTCTATAAAAAGGGAAAATTTTAAAAATTTTTCTATTAAAAGCGAAAATTTTAAAAATGTATTAAAAGCGAAAATTTTAAAAATGTTTCTATAAAAAGAGAAAATTTTAAAAATTTTTCTATAAAAAGGAAAATTTTAAAAATTTTTCTATAAAAAGAGAAAATTTTAAAAATGTTTCTATAAAAAGAGAAAATTTTGAAAATGTTTTTATAAAAAGAGAAAATTTTGAAAATTTTCTATAAAAAGAGAAAATTTTGAAAATTTTCTATAAAAAGAGAAAATTTTGAGAAATTTTCTATAAAAAGAGATAATTTTGAGAAATTTTCTATAAAAAGAGAAAATTTTGAGAAATTTTCTATAAAAAGAGAAAATTCTGAGAAATTTTCTATAAAAAGAGAAAATTTTGAAAAATTTTCTATAAAAAGAGAAAATTTTGAAAAATTTTCTATAAAAAGAGAAAATTTTGAAAAATTTTCTATAAAAAGAGAAATTTTCGAAGAATTTTCTATAAAAGAGAAAATTTTGAAAAATTTTGTATAAAAAGAGAAATTTTTCTATAAAAAGGGAAAATTTTAAAAATTTTTCTATTAAAAGCGAAAATTTTAAAAATGTTTCTATTAAAAGCGAAAATTTTAAAAATGTTTCTATAAAAAGAGAAAATTTTAAAAATGTTTCTATAAAAAGAGAAAATTTTAAAAATGTTTCTATAAAAAGAGAAAATTTTAAAAATGTTTCTATAAAAAGAGAAAATTTTGAAAATTTTCTATAAAAAGAGAAAATTTTGAAAATTTTCTATAAAAAGAGAAAATTTTGAGAAATTTTCTATAAAAAGAGAAAATTTTGAAAAATTTTCTATAAAAAGAGATAATTTTGAGAAATTTTCTATAAAAAGAGAAAATTTTGAGAAATTTTCTATAAAAAGAGAAAATTTTGAGAAATTTTCTATAAAAAGAGAAAATTTTGAAAAATTTTCTATAAAAAGATAAATTTTCGAACACTTTTCTATAAAAGAGAAAATTTTGAAAAATTTTCTATAAAAAGAGAAACTTTCGAAAAATGTTCTATAAAAATATAAATTTTCGAAAAATTTTCAGTAAAAAGAGAAATTTTGAAAATGTTTCTATAAAAATAAAAATATCGAAAATTAAGGAATTGTTTTATAAATTTTCTATAATTAAAAAAAAAAAATATGTATATAAATAGAGAAATTGTTAACAAATTATACTTTGGTTAGAAAGTTGTCCTAAGATCCTTTAAAAAAGTTTTGAATTTTCAATGTATTTTTTAATATTGTTTAAAATACATTCTGCTTTTAAATTTCTCAAATTTATGTTTCAATAAAATTTTGTACATAAAATAGTGTTGATAGATTGCTATCGTGTTCAGCGAATTCTAAATTAGGGTTAATTTACATAGCACTCACTTTCTACTTAAAATCTAAAAATGAAATCTAATTTATGTCTGCATCCTTAGTTTTTTGTTTCTTGTCTTAAGTTTACAAATCTCAACTTCGAAATTTTCAATCTTATCAGTTGCGAAATTTATAACCAACAATTGTTTTTCCAAAAAAGAAACTTTCACACTTCTCCATAATTTAACACGCACAATAACTTTAACCACAATGATAATAGTCAACAACAACAGCAAACTTTGCCATTCCTTCAGCAGTATTAACATCATCTCTAAGTATCTCCACACCCATCATCATTATCCCTTTGTCCAAAAGAACAGAAAGTGTTGAAATTTGTTTTCGCCAGTTTATCAATGTTGTAAAATCAGCAAACATTTATAGAACAGTCGTTTTATTTCTGTAACATTTGCATTTAGTTAAATATGATTGTTTATTCTGTGGTATGTCCTGTAACAAAATGTCCTTTCTTTCGTTTACTGTTTAAAGTTAAATTTAAACTTCTTAAAGTGTACTTACATTGAGTTTAAAAAAGGTTTTATATAAAAAGATTCTTTGTAGCAGAATGAGTAGTGATGTGGGTGTAGCAGGAAAATGTGATACGCTACAGTTATTGCTAGAATAAGTACATAGTAAATCTAGATTCTGGAATCAAAATTTTATTAGAGACGGTCTATAGGATTGTTATTGTTCGGTTGGAGATTAAGCATATTCTCTAATGGTCAGTTGGTCTGTTAGACCGGAGTTCGTGGGTTAGATTTTCACTGAGGAACTGGTGAGAGAGAGCAAAAACCATAACTAACTAACTAACTAGCTAAACTAACTAACTAACTAACTAACTAACTAACTAACTAACTAACTAACTAACTAACTAACTAACTAACTAACTAACTAACTAACTAACTAACTAACTAACTAACTAACTAACTAACTAACTAACTAACTAACTAACTAACTAACTAACTAACTAACTAACTAACTAACTAACTAACTAACTAACTAACTAACTAACTAACTAAACTAACTAACTACTAACTAACTAACTAACTAACTAACTAACTAACTAACTAACTAACTAACTAACTAACTAACTAACTAACTAACTAACTAACTAACTAACTAACTAACTAACTAACTAACTAACTAACTACTAACTAACTAACTAACTAACTAACTAACTAACTAACTACTAACTAACTAACTAACTAACTAACTAACTAACCATCTAACTAACTAACTAACTAACTAACTAACTAACTAACTAACTAACTAATGACAAATATTATAATTCTGGGACTAATCTACGAACAAATTGTCTTTCTGACAATCATGAAGGACATATCGTGACCCTATATTCAAAAAGTGCGAACTCAATTTTGGGCAAAGTGAGTTTTTGATGCAAAAGGATTCCTCAATGCATGATCCACGTCTGGTATAAATTTGAAACCAAAAAAGTAATTTTTGTACTTTTAGCAACAATTTTTGTTAATATGCTATCTCAAAGTTAAATTTTTATTGAAGGAAATAAGTGCTAACTTCCATACAAATTTTACAACATTTTTTAAAACTCCAAATTTATTTAAAATTTATTTTGTATATTAACAAGATGAACACGCTGAACACAAAACAGGTGAGGATTAATAAATTGAATGTATAGTTTTTAAGATATGATCATTTATATATTTGTATATAAAGCCAGGTTTATACTTTAAATAATGTTTTTTCGAAAAATTTAAAGTTATTTCAGAAATCGTTTATAACACTAAGATCTATAATATTCTATGGTTCCAATTTAGAATTTTGATTATAAAAAAGTCTTTAAATGTGCAAATTATGGAGTATTATTCAAAAAATATTGGTACTTTTTATATTCAAAAACTTTTCATAATTTAATATATTTGTACTGAGAATAAGGAATAGTAAACAAGCAGATATGCCATGAGTTTTTCTACTTAAATGGTGTAAATGCATCTTATTGGACTTACTGGTTTGACTTATATCCCTTAAAAAAAAAACATTTCATAAAATTATAAAATAACGCATATTATTAGAAGAAATTTTTGTTCTATTCTTTGAACAAAAAATGCTAACTTAGAACAAATATTTGTTTTTTTGTCGACCAAAATGTGCTATCTTAAATAAGTCGCTAAAATGTGCAAAATATTAAAATTTTTTCATAGTTAAGAATTAGTAAGGATGTTAAAAACGTATTATGGAAGAAATATTGCCTTTTAGTGCAATATTTCACGAATTAAATAGTTTTTTTGCTTTCCTGAAAACTAGACTTTATTGATTTAGCACTTTTTGAATATAGGGTATCGATATACAAATCATTATTGCCGACTACATCTTACATACTTTCCCTTTTTTGAAAAAAATCCTTGAAATACACAAAATATTTTATTTAGTTGATATTATCTCAAATACTTGAACATAAATACTTGTATATTTTGTAAGACGTAGTAAAAGGATTACTTTTAAGTAATTGCTAACCATTGTTTTCTTTGGTTACCACTGTTCTGCCTTCAGTTAAGACTGTCAGTAGGTAATAGTGGTGAAAGTTATTTTTTGCTAAAAACGAAGTGTGAGCAATGTAAGTTATCTTCTTATAAGATTAAATATATCTCTTTTTTACCCAAAATCCTAGAAGATATATTTTAAATATCAGTTAAGATGTTAATAGCATATGTCTAAGGATTTATTTAAGGATATTTAATACTTTTTTTGTCAAGGAATAGTTTTGGTAAAGAGTTAAAGGAATTTTAAAATAAATTAGTTAGAAGATTAAATAAGTTTAGGGAAATGTGTATTATAAACTAAACAACCCTTTCTATATTAATCGGTCGTATAATTCTTTTCCTAAAACAGTAGTTTTCAACACTTTAATCTCGTTCAATTACATTTATTTAAAGTTTTTTACGAAATGTGAATGGATACGAATTTAAAAGAAATAAAATTAAATAGCATAATTTAAACGGATAAAGATATCGTTAAAAAATTTAACTTTATGTAAATTCAAATTATGACCTCCAGCGGATGCTGGCGATGTCCTACTTTCATGGTTCTTATTAAATGCTTCTTCCCAATTTTTACAATAAAACAAAATGTTTTAAATAATATTTTGTATATTAAAAGAAAATAAATTAAATTACAAAATAAATTAATGTAAATATCCAGTATAATCACAACAAAATTTTTAACCGCGGGCACCTAAGCCAGGATACCAACCACTTGGTCTACCGCCATAACCACCATATCCTCCATAACCACCTGGTCTGAAGCCTCCATATCCACCATAACCTGGTCTACCTCCGAAGCCACCATAACCACCAGGTCTAAAACCTCCACCAAAGCCGCCATAACCGCCAGGTCTAAATCCTCCTCCAAATTGACGTTTTTCACGTATTTGATTTTCATTCAAGTCAACATTATATTCATCCAAATCAATATTGGAGGCACAGTAAGTGACAGCTACGAAAAAAACACAAATGAAAGTTACTAAAGGTACGTTCACACCTATCAAATATTTGACGTTTTTTATCAAATATTTGTTGGCTGTAACGTGAACACAAAATATTTTTGAAGAGCAAACAAAATATCAGCTGTTTTTCTTGAAACATTTTTATATGTCAACCTACAAATATTTTCTTAATGTGAACACAATGTGAACACCAAACATGAAACATTTTTGTTAAACGTTAAAAAAACTATTTAATAATATTTTTTACGATTTCATAGAAATTTCTGCCTAAAAACAAAAAATTAAATACATTTTTATTTCATAATGTGCTTAAAATGAGTATTTCTATTTTGACGTTTTGTTTGAAGAAACAAAGCCAAACACAATTCAATACAAATAGTAAAAGTTTGTTTGCCCGGTGTTCACATTACAACAAATAATTTCGTAAAACAATTGACGGATAAAACAGTAAAAAAACAAGATTTTGTTTGCAGGCAAAGAGGAACATAACAACAAGAACAGCTAATGCGCAACCAAACCAAAAGCCAAAAATATATGTATGTGTTTATATTTACTAAAAAGCTATATCATTGAATAATAACTTCTATATATTCTAAAATTTCATTTAATATTGTTTTTCATCAAAATTTTACAACAAAAAAATACAAATTACATTTCAATACCTTGTGCAAGTGGAAAAGAGATAGATGGACTTGCACAAGGTATTGAAATGTAATACCTTGTGCAAGTGGAAAAGACATAGATAGACTTGCACAAGGTATTGAAGTTACACTTCAATACCTTGTGCAAGTGGAAAAGAGATAGATAATGGATCTTTACTGTCATGTTGTTGCTATTTAGTATAGTCAATGTAGCGAAAAACCTTGGTTGTTTGGAACGGTTTATAGCGATTTCAAAAAAATCGCTATAAGCCCGGAAATAACCAAATTATAAATAATTTTCATTAAATTACATATCTATAAAATTTAAAATTATAGAGAATTGTTTATTATTAATATATTTTTATATCCATTAATATAATAAATAATTGTTTAAATAAATTGAGTAATAAAATATTCCCGTATATTGAGAATAATTAATATTTCAGAGAAGTTTCAATTGCCTGTTTTTAAAGATAGAATGACTTCATTGTTGAAATGTTAACATGATGTTTAATTTTATGATCGTGAGATCTTTCACGTTCATTTTTCTTTAAAGTAACGAAAAGGTTTATTCATCAAATATCGTCGACATGTGCTTAAAGAGTCATGTTGCAAAAATTTTTTGCGATTGCAGACGGGTGAACTAAGTATGTTAGCTAATTTTTCGGGAAAATAATATAAGAAAGTTGAACTTCTTCGATATTGTTGCGGAATGCGTTATCCGCATAATATATGACTTGAACTCTTTGCGAAAGTACTGTGAATTTTACTGCATGGTTTTGACTATTTACGCATTTTCTGATGTTAATTTAATAATATTGGTCAACAAAATCAAGTTAAAATCTGTGTATCACGTCGGAATGGAATATTTATATATAAAATTACCTGGATTAACGTATTGAAAACGAATAAAGAGTCACCTCTGTTTCGGAAATATATTATTTTAGTCCTTCCAAACAAGAACACTTTTGTTTACAATTTGACAAACTTAAATCTGTGATAAGCTTGTCCTTGAATTATGAAATGTGGCCTAACTTCATACTCCGAGATAACAGTATCTCTTATTTAATTGTAATTTGGGAACCGTTGGACTAGACTGCAAACTAGACTATAGATGCATATATTATGTAACATAACTATATATAGTATGTTGTTACCAACCAATAAATAACAAAACAACAAAAATAATAATTATCATTAATTTACGCAATTGCTTGAATTTCAATTAAATGTCACAACTTTGTCTCAGATTTATATTTTATAAAAAATAAAATAAAACCAGTCATATAAGCGACTATTTACATTTTTGTATGAGGTGATAACACTCATTTTCAGAAAATAAACAAAGAACAGCTGTCATTGACGCTGTTTGATCTTACATTTGGTTTGCAAGATCAAATAATTATTTTACCAAAATGACGTAAATTATTTGACTTTTGGTGTTCACATTGATGAAACAATGAGAAAATATTTATTTGCCAGCAAATCAATTTGTTTTATGAAAATCATCCGCATTGCTGTTTGTTAACATGAAATATTTTATGTTCAGATTCGACAAACAAAGTTTTTTCAATAGTGTTATATATTAATATTATACACTTTTATTATAAAAATTTAATTTTAAACCTAATAAAAATAGTTAAAATTAAAACAAATTGCCAAATTGTTTTTTTCTTGCATGAAAATATACGATATACTGTGGCTGCAAAACATGTGTGTGTTTGAACCAAATTATTTTTGCACTGTTTGATAAAACAATACCATCAAATATTTGTTCAAGTCTGAACATGAAATAAATATTGCGTTTGTTTGACGCAACTTTATAAATATTTTATAACAAATATTTGGACCAAATATTTTACAGGTCTGAACGTAGCTTTAGAGAAATGTGCGCATCTTAATCATTTAACTATTAATAGATTATAAACGTTTTATTCGAATTTTAAATATGAACTGATACCTAACACAATATTTCGCAGTTTATTTATATGAATTTTTAAAATATTTATTTTTTGCATCTTAATTATTTTTACGTTATCAGTACAAAAATATAACGAATAATATACGTTTTACAAACTCGTTGGTAGCAAAACTACAAAGTAAATATATAAACAAGTTAGAGTGCTATATTCGGCTATGCCGAATCTTAAATACCCTCCACCAGCAAGCTACTTTTTATTGAAACCCATCTAACTATCTATTTTTTAGATAACTCGCCAAAATTTTTGTAGAACTAATTTTGATTAGGTCCAGAAAAATTTTGAATTATTTATCTATACAGAGAACATACTTATGTCGAATTTTATCCGGATATAATAATTTAATAACGAATTAAGTGGTATTAAGTGATTTTCAACAATTAACCTTATATGGACCGGTTCGGAAAAAATTCCGTACAATGATTTATATACATATATACAAAATACACATTTACGTCAAATTTTATACCTAAATGTGTATAAAATGTTCGTTTAAGTAATTTTCAGAAATGGCCCTTATATGGGAGTTGTGACCAAATACGGACCGATTCAGAAAAAATTGTATACCTATGTATAAAATGTGCGTTCAAGTAATTTTCAGAAATGGTCCTTATAAGGGAGTTGTGACCAATTATGCACCAATCAGGAAACAATTTCGTATAATGCCGAAAAAGATCAAGTATAATTTTACTCCAATAGGTGCGTTTAGGTAATTTTAGGAAGTGGACTTTATATAGGAGCTATGAGCAATTAAGGGCCTATCCCGAAAAAATTTCGTAGAGTGATTTATGTAAAGACAAAACATATAAGTGTTGAATTTTCTCAAGATAACTTTATTTGACAATGAAATATGTGCGTTTAAGTTATTCTCAGAAGTGGACCTTATATGGGAGCTATGATTAATAATGGACCGATCCGAGAAAAAAGTGGTAAAATGATTTGTATGTACACAAAACTTATTCAAGTCGAATTTTATTCCTATAGCTTAAGAATTCAATGAAATATATGCGTGTGATTTTCGGAAGTGGACCTTATATGGGAACTATGACCGATTATGGGCCTATTCGGGAAAAATTTTGCAGAGTGATTTATATTTGGGCAAAACATGTTTGTGTCGAATTTTATCAAGATGGCTTTATTTGATAATGAAATATGTGCTTTTAAGTGATTTTCGTAAGTGAGCCTCATATGGGAGTTATGACCAATAATGGACCGATCCGTAAAAAATTATTTTGTAAAATGATTTGTACGTACACAAAATATATTCAAGTCGAATTTTATCCCGATAGCTTTAGAATTCAATGAAATATATGCGTTTAAGTGATTTTCGGAAGTGGACCTTATATGGGAGCTATGACCAATTATGGGCCTATCCAGAAAAAATTTCGTAGAGTGATTTATATTTAGACTAAACATATTTCTGTCGAATTTTATCAAAATAGCTATATTTGACAATGAAATATGAGCTTTTAAATGATTTTCGGAAGTGGGCCTTATATGGGAACTATGACCAATAATGGACGGATCCGCAAAAAAATTGGTAGAATGATTTGTATGTACACAAAACATATCCAGCCCGAATTTTATCATAATAGCTTTATTCATCAATGAAATATGTGCGTTTAAGTGATTTTTGGAAGTGGACCTTATATGGGAGCTATGACCAATTATGGGCCTATCCGGAAAAAATTTCATAGAGTGATTTATATTTAGACTAAACATATTTCTGTCGAATTTTATCAAAATAGCTATATTTGACAATGAAATATGAGCTTTTAAATGATTTTCGGAAGTGGGCCTTATATGGGAGCTATGACCAATAATGGACCGATCCGCAAAAAATTTGGTAGAAAGATTTTTATGTACACAAAACAGATTTGTGTCGAATTTTATCCCGATAGCTTTATAATTCAATGAAATATATGCGTTTAAGTCATTTTCGGAAGTCGACCTTATATGGGAGCTATGACCAATTGTGGACCGACTGAGATCTACGTTGGTAGTATGATTTCTGTTCATATTATATTGTTTGTACAAAATTTGGTGTTGATACCGATATATTTGATTGAGTTATTAACGATAAACTAATTTCCGGGAATATGTACCTTTGTATGTATTGTAAAGATTTTGAACATAATTGATCACTGCCCTAAAAAAATAAAGTGTGACAAAATTCATCGCAATATCTTTGGTAGTTTCTGAGAAAACTTCAAAAGAATTAGGAAAAAAACGTAATTTTTTTCGAGGTAGTCTGAAATTTTTACTCATAACTTCTTACGTTGTGAACCGATTTTGCTGATTTTCAATACCAAACTGCTTAGGATAATAATAAATATTTTGGGTGAATTTGGTTGATTTCTTTTGCTTAGTTTTAACGTGAGCGTGTTTTACACAGACAGACAGACAGACGGACAGACGGACGGACATAGCTAAATCGACTCAGAATTTCATAAGGACCCAGAATATATATACTTTGTTGGGTCTTAGATGTATATTTCTTGGTGTTACACACGGAACGACAAACTTATATATACCCTCTATCACCACTGATGGTGGTGGAGGGTATAATAAATACTTATGCGTTTTAATTCAGATTAATAATTGTCAGTCATATTTAGTATGAATAAGTGATTTACAAAATTTATGGAAATGTTTTCAATCTTTCAAAACTTAATCACATAAAAGTAACAAATGAAATATTTTGTAAAAAACATGGTTTATTGCGTAGCAAAATTATAATTCTACTCAGTCCAATATATTTTTAAGTGGTTCTTTTTTTGTTTTGTTTTCTCGAATGACCAATATTAACTTTGTGTTTTTGTAGGGGGGTTTTTATAGAAAACAATCAATTAGTTTGCTGCTCTTATACATAGATTTTAAAAAAAGTTTCAAAGTAAACAAATAAAAAAATAAAAAGAAAACAAAATAAATAGCAAATTAATTTATCCGATTTTTTGATACTCTCTTATATTTTTTGACAGAATAATAATATTAGTGTAATAAATTAATCGCTTTAATAAATTTTGAATTTTTCTTTAATTGCTTGAATAACTACTTTAGTTTCCCAGATATACAAATTTAATTTTTTAAATGGAACACGTCCTTTATTGCTAGACCTACCATTTTACATTGGAAGACTCTAGGTTAGGTTGATAGGAGGATGTATACTACAATACTGAATGTATTATTTTTCAATGTTCAAAAACTCAGTTTCGTGAACATAATTTCTAAGATTTTTTTTATCATTTTTAGTCAGGAATGTTATTTCCGGAATAGCCTTACTTCCAAGATACTTGGATCTAACTTAGACGAATTTCTGAATCCGAACGTCCAATTTTGTGTAGATCTGCTCGTAATACTGTGTGTGTCCACTCAGAATACGTACCATCATACTAACCTCAGACTTGCTCATTTTGAGGAGATTTCTCGTCTTACCCTCATCAGGGTCACCCCATAATATATTTGTGGTTCTACCCAACGTTTCATTATTCCAAGAGTCCTTACGGGATTCTCTCACCCATATTTTTAATTCAGCTTTTGTTGCGTCGAATGGTTTTGCGTTCGTCAGGTTTACTACCTCGAGTTCTTTTCCCTTTAAAGCTATTACATTCGCCCTTTCGTTGCCGATTACTTACAATCCAATATGGTCTTAGATTTAATTCTATCGCCTAATATATCGGTAAATATATTAAGCTCTGTGGGCGCCATATTTATTCTAATCCAATTAATACATACATATGATTAGGTAAACGGTGGTATATTTATGTTTCTGGGTATTCAATATAGATCCCCAGGCCCACATTGACCCCAAATTTAGAGCCAACGGATTCCTACTGGTACTTGCTCTAATGTTCCGCTTGACCAAGACATTCTATCTGGGATCAGCGATTCAAAGTTTCCGACATATTCTGTGTCTGGTGCTTTTGGCCAGTTCGTTCGGCTGTAAAAGCCGCCTAATATCTCAAATATGTTTCAATGGGTGACATATCTAGCAACGTTTTCAGAGCCTTGGTAGAAGTAGTACACTTGACACCATTTAAATCCAAGCAGCATGTACACTGAACTCCCTGTAGTAGTTTGATATTACACTTTTTGTCCAAAGCAGTCCACCAGATTATTGAAGCATAAGCTAGAATTGGTCTAATTACACTTTATAAAGCCAATTTGTCATAGTAGGACTAAGACCCCATTTCATGTTTATAGTTCTCCTACATATCGCCCAGCACGGATGTGCATCAACAAGGCACATCGGTGCCTCTATCCTCTATGTGGTGTCTCCATTTTAATTTCCGGTCAAGAAGGGTTCAGTATACGTAGAAATTTTTGTCTTTCTTGTGAAAAGACAGAAGACTCTAGTTACTCATATATTCGAATTTTAATATTTATTTCATATGAGGACGTCACGCCCACTATTGGTGGTTCGTAATTTGTCGCTTTATATATTTCAATGAACCCGTAGAGTATTTATACAATTTTGAAAGGGACTACTTGTTATACATAGTTTCCCAGATACATATATACATTCAAAGTATTCGACTATTTACTGTCGCCCAACCAGCAGGTGGCTCTAATTCGCTTTATAAATGAGAATGAAAGAGTCGTCAGTATTTATACAATTTTGAAAGGGACTACTTGTTATACATAGTTTCCCAGATACATATATACATTCAAAGTATTCGACTATTTACTGTCGCCCAACCAGCAGGTGGCTCTAATTCGCTTTATAAATGAGAATGAAAGAGTCGTCAGTTTAGTGTCTCTTTTATAAGCGACTGTCTACACTTTACTTCCCCCCGGGGCATGTTTCCTTGATGAAAGGCCCTCATCTTGGTGTATTTGCAATCCCGGGTGTAAAGAGGTGCTACAAACACCCCTAGTCTGCCGGGTCTATAAACTGTTGATGTCAAATGTATCTTCGGCCTTTCCTTGGAATGATTTGACATGGGGTCGAACCAGAGCACCACATAATCTGGTACTACGGGT